AACAAATATCACCCTTTTTGCCGGCTTCCATTGGTCGATACCGAGACCCACGCCACGTCACGCCGAGTGACGCTAATGAATATGCTAATATGCCCTCATCATTGTGTACCGGGCCGAAATAGGTCAGCCGTAGCGCCTACGGCGCTTTGCTGAACAATGCAATGAGTTGGGTCGGCAAATAATTTTTGATCGTCTTCGAAATTTTCCTTAGAGATGGTTTCATAGTGTAACACTAGTGTCCGCAATAACAGATTAAGCTGAAATTCGGAATTGCTTGGATGATATAAGTGTTCAACTACTCGTGAAATAACACTTTGGGTAAATTCCTAGAATTTATGATAATAACATACATTTGGGGAAGTTTTCGAACGATTTCTTCCAGACTTGAAGGTCAGCTTTGACAGTAACCAGTATTTACGTTTCGGCATCGATGACGGCGATTTTTTCACTGACATGAAGTGTAGAATTTCTTCTTCAGTTAGAATGTAACATTTCAATCATACCGAGCATATTTTCTGAGAAACAAAACGTTCAAAAGGCCATGTTTTTGGGGGGTGCATGGATTTCACTGCTCTATTATAGCGTCTAATCTGATTAGCTTTGCCTACTAATGCCAGAAGATATGCCCTAGCAACCACATGACTGTTTCAATACAAAATAACTCCAAAAAATGGATGGCAATAATTTCATCGATTTAAGAGGAGTAGAAAATGCACAAAATATGTTCACCGTAACATTCGTTTCATGGGCCCTTTTCAGTAGGTCTGTTATATTTTGGTAGTAATACTTATACCAAAACAATGTAATAATTTGGACATGTATATAGATCACGGGCTTCGGCAGTGGTGTATCTAAGGGAAAAGTGCACACACGTCCCACTAGAGGCATGTGCCTTTACGTGCGTTCCTCACCAGCTCAGAATTCAGAGGAGGTTAAAAGAAGGGTGTTCTTTATTAATTGGCAAAAAAACCCTTGAGTTTCCCACTCCAGTAAAGTGTCTCATGCATATTGGACCCCAGTCACTTCACTGCCATACATTTGTTCAATCCCCCCGTCAAAGTTTTAGTTTTTCTGTTTCTTCATCGGTTACGACCCGAAGCCATTTCCAGCTGATTTAGCAGCAACACGCTTCTGTTAATCACATATCTGTTGGAGTTGCTTGCAAGATTTAGACCGGCCACGAAAGGCGAAAGAAACCATATTTTCATCATTGCGTATAAGTTTGGTATCAAGGAGAAAATGTATATTTCTTCAAAGCATTTTGTAAAATCAAAGATGTACTTTACTCTATATCCGATTTTCACCCAGAGAAAACTGATTTTGATCGCTGTATTCAATCATAGATAAGATATTCCATCTTGAAAAAAAAAAAGAAATCGAAGGACGAAATAGGACCATGCTTAGTTATTGAATAAACACTTAACACATTTCAAACTCTGTCGGCTTGACTGTAATTTAGTTGGTGCAGGGATGACTGTTCTCCGCCCCTATTAACCTTTATAGAGTTCGGAACGGGGAATCAGTCTGCTGGCAAGGCGGATCTCTTTGCAAGTGCAAACTCCGAACGAGGAACAAAAAGTGATTTTCATTAAAATAGGCCAACATAATTCTTACAATTTTGAAAAGTGTATGGAGAGAGTATATTTCCAAAGTAAACTGCAAGATTTTAATTAATATAATACAAGCGAGAAAACGGACAAAAAGGTATAGAAAAGTCCATACCCTTACCCCCCCCCCCGTCATTTTTAACACCTGCGCAATTCTAGGGAATTTCTTCATCATCCAAGTATCCGTCAGAACTCTTTGATGCAACACACGCATAGGGGTGCAATTCCAATATCACTTTCTATACTTAATCTCTCATCGATCATGAACCCGTTATAAGCAAGGTCATTATTGATTATAAGTATTATTTCAAATAACCATACGTAATCCTTGCCAGTGTTTTTCCTGGCATGAAAGCTTATGAAAGCCAGTGCCCTTAATGAAAGCCAGTGCCCTTGAACACTTCGTTCGCATGCCTGTAATAATTGCTGGCAGGAAGATCAGTAGAAATGTACTCATTACTACGGTAGGCCTGACACTGCCTGGAAGAGATCCAGGGCCGACCTTGCAAACCCTGGATGCGCCAGCTAGAAGTTGGCCACACGACACGAGCGCAACAGCTGTGGCAGTCTGCATCTGATCGCTCGGTACATCCGGGCGGCCCAAAAACCCATGATGGATTGGGAGAATGACGATGACGGAAACCCGACACAAAAATTGTTAATGTGGATTATTGGTGGGCCTAGAAGGCAAGCATACAGTCCTCTTTGCTGACTGACTGACTGACTCCCCCCCCAAAAAAAGAACTGACTGACTGACTGACTCCCCAACTGACTGACTCCCCAACTGACAGACAGACTGACCGCCTGACTGACTGATCGACTGACTGACTGACCGACTCCCCGACTCTCTCTCACTGACCGACTCTCTCACTGACTGACTCCTCGTCAACTTGTGATTCGTTTTTGTTTAAGTTCATGACAGTAAGCTAATGATCACATTTTTCTCACAAATCGTAGAAACTTCAATGTTACAGTGGACTTGACTCAAGTTGGAATTGCTTTAAGTCGGTATCGTAAAAAAAGTAGCAAAAAATCACTTAGTTTACGTCTTTACAGATGCCCGACAAGGTACACTTCAGCGCGCGTTCCACTTCAGTGCCGTATAAGAATGCGCATTACACGTACATGTGTGTGCATGTATTGCAGAGCATGTGCATACATGTGGTGCAAAAGTTTGCAATGGGTTACTGCATCACTTGAAAATAACATGTACATGTACGTTTTTTAACATGATGGTCCGGATTCGACGCATGAGGGCGTGCGTTATGTACTGTAATATGCGATATGCGCTGTGAGTGGATTTAGTATATAGGCACAGACCGAGCGCAATCCAGACTTGGCCAAGTCTATATGTCACAGCTATTCCAGCACCAAAATTGTCAATTTTCTTTTGGATATTTTCTGCAGTAAATGTTCTTGTCTTTGGTGGTTCGTTGCTGTCTCAGTAAATGACAGTAAGCCAATGAGCAAAAGTTTCTTACAAATGTTTCCAGTGAGCAAAGTTTTGGGTTCCCAATTTGAATAGAAAACCCCTAAATTGAAGAGTGTCTTCCTGAATTTACATCACAGTACAGCGCCCTTATTTGTCAGGAAAAGCATGGGAAATTTTAAATGCTAAAATAACATTGCACTTCTCAATAAAAAATAAATCCAAAAATGGATGGCTAATAGTTTCGTGCATTTAAGAGGAGTAGAAAAATGCACAAAATATGTTCCCGGTAACATTTCATGGACCCTTTCAGTAGGCCTATTATTTTTTTTGGATAGAAATACTTATACCAAAACATGTAATCATTTGGACATGTATGTAGATCTCGGGCTTCGGCAGTGGTGTATCTAAGGCCAAAAAAAAAAGTCTCCGGTTTCAGGTATGGAGCTTGTCCAAATAGTGTAGCGGCGACGCGGCTTTTTTTTTTTTTTTTACCCGACTTTGTTGCTTCAAATTTGCTTCAAATGTCGGCTGATGACTGCAAATGGTGCCGACTAAACTTAGTGCAAATATATGGGAGTCCAGAGAGGCCACATAAAGCTTATTCTCGATCATAACCCCATCTAAAAACACGTTGAAATTGCGCAGCAGCAGAATTCCAGTCAAACCAGTGAGTTTGGCGGTTTTGAGACATCATCTTTCATTGAAAATTTTTTTTTTCATTTTGCCGACGCGCATGGCTACGGCGACGCGCGCGCATACCAGAAACCGGAGACTTTTTGTTTTTGGCCTAAGGGAAAAGTGCACACACGTCCCACTAGAGGCATGTGCCTTACGTGCGTTCCTCACCAGCTCAGAATTCAGAGGAGGTTAAAAGAAGGGTGTTCTTTATTAATTGGCAAAAAAACCCTTGAGTTTCCCACTCCAGGAAAAGTGTCTCACGCAAATTGGACCCCAGTCACGTCACTGCCATACATTTGTTCAATCCCCCCGTCAAAGTTTTAGTTTTTCTGTTTCTTCATCGGTTACGACCTGAAGCCATTTCCAGCTGATTCAGCAGCAACACGCTTCCGTTAATCACATTTCTGTTGCAGTTGCTGGCATACATTAGACCGGCCACGAAAGGCGAAAGAAACCATATTTTCATCATCGCGTATAAGTTTGGTATCAAGAAGAAATGTATATTTCTTCAAAGCATTTTGTAAAATCAAAGATGCACTTTACTCTAAATCCGATTTTCACCCAGAGAAAACTGATTTTGATCACTGTTTTCAATCATATACATTGTTAAGATATTCCATCTTGAAAAAAAAAAAGAAATCGAAGGAAGAAATAGGACCATGCTTAGTTATGGAATAAACACTTAACAAATTTCAAACTTTGTCGGCTTGACTGTAATTTAGTTAGTGCAGGGATGACTGTTCTCCGCCCCTATTAACCTTTATAGAGTTCGGAACGGGGAATCAGTCTGCTGGCAAGGCGGATCTCTTTGCAAGTGCAAACTCCGAACGAGGAACAAAAAGTGATTTTCATTAAAATAGGCCAACATAATACTTCCAATTTTGAAAAGTGTATGGAGAGAGTTTATTTCCAACGTAAACTCCGAGATTTTAATTAATATAATACAAGCGAGAATACGGACAAAAAGGTATAGAGAAGTCAATACCCGTACCCCCCCCCCGTCATTTTCAACACCTGCACAATTCTAGGGAATTTCTTCATCATCCAAGTATCCGTCAGAACTCTTTGATGCAAGACGCGCATTAGGGTGCGATTCCAATATCACTCTCTATACTTAATCTTTCATCGATCATGAACCCGTTATAAGCAAGGCCATTATTGATTACAAGCATTATTTCAAAGTACCATACGTAATCCTTGCCAGTGTTTTTCCTGGCATGAAAGCTTATGAAAGCCAGTGCCCTTAATGAAAGCCAGTGCCGTTGAACACTTCGTTCGCATACCTGTAATAATTGCTGGCAGGAAGATCAGTAGAAATGTACTCACTACTACGGTAGCCCTGACACTGCCTGGAAGAGACCCAGGGCCGACCTTGCAAACCCTGGATGCGCCAGCTAGAAGTTGGCCACACGACACGAGCGCAACAGCTGTGGCAGTCTGCATCTGATCGCTTGGTCTGGGCGGCTCATAGTCCCCCATCATGGATTATAGCAGAATGATAATGATGATGACGGTAGCCCGACAACAAATATTATTGCTGGGCCTAGGGCCAGCATACAATCATCTCTGCTGACTGACCGACTGACTCCCCCGACTGACTGACTGACTCCCCGACTGACACCCCGACTCCCCACTGACTCCCCGACTGACTGACTGACTGACTGACTTACTGACGGACTCCCCGACTGACCGACCAACTCCCCGACTGACCGACTCCCCGATTGACTCCCCGACTACCCCCCGACTGACTGACTGACTCCCCGAATGACTGACTGACTCCCGGACTGACTCCCCGACTCCCCCGACTGACTGACTGACTGACTCCCCGACTGACTCCCCGACTAACTCCCCGACTGACTGACTGGCTGACTCCCCGACTGACCGACTGACCGACCGACTGACTGACTGACTGACCGACCGACCGACCGACCGACTGACTGACTGACTGACCGACTCCCCGACTGACTGACTCCCCAACTGACTGACTGACTGACCGACCGACCGACTGACTGACCGACCGACCGACCGACTGACCGACTCCCCGACTGACTGACTGACTGACTGACTGACTGACTGTCACTTGTTAATTACACTTCCTTAAGACTCACCTTGGCCAAACATTTTGACTCAGACGACCACCTAGACCTTTTAAACCAAATGGATCAGGGACCCGCTTTCCGAGCATTGTTTCTGAAAACCGTCAGGAACGCCAAGTAACGTTGCTCTCAAATTTTCTCGGATTAGAAAATCATTTTCAAAGAATATCACTCATCGACCAGCTATAAATGATTATGAACCGCTCAAAATCAGTTTCATACTGGGTGCATGGCCTGCCATCCCTTGCATTGCTTCACTCTCCAAAACACTTCAATATTTGCAAAAATAGGCCTGTATTTTGGCCGCGTATATTTTGTATATCATAATAATCATCGAATAATCTCAACAAAAAATGTTTTTGTTTTAATTAAAGGTGATTTTCTTATGTTTATGTTCACAGATACTGATGAGTCAGAGGCTGATCTGAAGTTTTGACCGACAGTCTTTATTTGTTTCTGGTGGTGGGATGCATGTTACTCTATTCATCGAACAATTTATTTGTTGTTTTCCACAAAAATATCAGATATGTCCCTCACAATTTCGGCTATAGAAGACAATTAAAAACGCGTAACTGACTGGATGTAACAACAGTGGGCATGAAAATTATATTCTCAACAGAATATGAATTTCATGGAATGAAACAAAACACTTCACGTTACACAATTATACCTGAAATGCTGATAAAAAAATATCCAAACCAAAAAACCTTTAGGTAAACAACATCCCTATGCTATAGGAGTCCAAAATTTGAACAAGTAATTTGTCAAGATATATTTGATTTCCGCTTTAAATTGATTTCAAAATACAATGCATGAGCTCAGCAATGAATAAAATTGATCGAAAAACGTATAAGTTGGGTTGGATGTTGCTTCTTGAGTATGCGACTCATCTATCGATAGCTAGTTAATATGTATGTAGAAGTGACATGTAAAAGATGTTATTTTTCACTTCTCATGCAGACACAACTTCTGCGCTAATCATCTAAGCCAATCCAGTATGCTATCTTTCAAAGTTTCAAAGTTGTAGGCAGTAAAATGACAATCCCATTTAGGTGAAGGGCCCATACAGTATAGAGATAATTTCTCAGACGGATTTCTCTTACGCCACAAATACGTTTCCCCACCGCCACCCCACCCCCGCCCCTACCCCCTCCTACTTTCGGGAAAAATCCTGATATCGCCCATGTTGAAAGCTTGTTGGAAAGGGACGACCTTAGATAACGGTCATGTCCGCATAGGCCTATCATTAATATTCATCTCGAGCTTCAATCCGAATGCTTAGGCCTTCTTTATTGGCGACATGTTGCTTTGTTATTGTCATTCTAAGGTTTTAACAAAGATTTGGTGAGAAATAGTTATTATACAACTTAAAGATGCATATACTCCGTGCTCTTCAAAAAAAGCTCTTTGTTCTCCAAACAAATTTTCAATTGGTTTGTTTTGTTTCACGTGCAAACTACTGTTTTCCGAGTATTTGCAGAACACCCCCTCAACTCCAAAACCACCTACTAGAAATCAATGGCTACGCAGTCAAAAGAGATTACAAAAAAAACCCTGAGGGTACACCCGGGATAAAAATTCCCATGGACACCAGTGCTTTGCCCATACGTCTAAATTCTTTTTAAAATACTCAAAACTGAGGTTACATAGGATAATGATGATCGACACGTCATCTTTCATCTTCTTTCCAATTTTTGGTGGGTTGACCATTGACTTTTCGAAAAATTTTAACCCGAAAAAGGCGACCCCTCAAACAAGTGATGTTTTCCAAAGTGGAAAAGTAACCATCTTGAAAAAGGGCCCGCCACAAATACGGCTTAATAGTGTCACTTTCAGGCCCGGGCCAAAGATGCACTGCCGTATTTCTTCAATTCCCCAATTCCATGGCTGTCAGAACTCTCTAATATAGCAGATTTTGAGTGTATAACTTGTATTCATGAGCTCGGCGGACGGATTTTTGGCCTATTAGGGTGGACCCCTAAGTCCAATGTAGGGGATACGGAGTAGGAGCGAGTCGGGGAGGACCGAAAAGAGGGAGTTATTTTCCATTTGAGAAATCCTCCAAGCGAACGATTCAGGGGTTCACCCCAGTATACAAATCCCTAAAGACACCAATGCCAAATGCCCATACTTCAAAATGTTTATACTCTCACAAGTGTTTAGGCTGCACAGAGAAATGATGATCAAAATATCATCTTTCATTTTCATTTCAATTTTTGGTGGGTTGACCGATGACTTTTCCAGAAATTCGCACCTCCCAAAAAAGACAACCCCTTAAACGAGTGATGTGATCCAAAGTGGAACAGTCTAGCCATCTTGAAAAAGGATCACTCCACAACCTGGCTAAATAGCGCCACTGTCGGGCCCAATTGCATCCAAAATGCTCTGAATTGTGAAGCCAAAATTCCGGGCCAGTGGTGCATTACTATATCTCTTAAATTCATCAATTCGCTGGCTCTATAAGAACTCTTTAGTATAGAATAATTCGAGTGTATAACATTATTGATGAGCTAGCTCGGCGGACGGATTTTTTTTCTATTTGCTGGGGTGGATCCTCAGTACTAACTGTGTATGCCCTAACGAAGAGCGCCACCTATTGTTCGATAGTGTCCAAGATCATCATCGCTCCTAATAGTCAGATGATGTTAACCCTAAAAGGGACGGGGCAGAATCCGCCCCCCCCCCAAACTTTTTCCGCGATAGCTTTGAAAAAAAATGTCCGGCGCTACGTGCCGTGAAAACTGAATTTCCCCATATACGTCGTGTACACAGAGCAGAATTACCATTCGTAAATATGAATAATTAATTAGCCATAATTCCAAAACCCTTTGACCTATAGTCACGAAATGTCTTGGGTATGTTCATGATGAGTTGCTCTATGCATGTACCGAGTTTAAAAAATGTTCGTCACTCGATGGCCGAGATCTTAGGGGGAGCGGAATCCGCCCCCTCCCCGGCTGAGAGATGGTCAAAATAACCCGGCCCTTTTAGGTTAAGACCCCCACCCCCGTGCCACGAAAAGTCTGCTTGGTTCCCCGTGGACAAACTTCTGCATGTGTACCCACTGGACAACTTTGGTGAGAAGCTACTGTTAGGCCCAAAAAAGTCTCCGGTTTCTGGTATGGAGCTTGCCCCAAAAGTGGTGCGGCGACGCGGCTGTATTTTTTTCTCTTACTTTTTTTTCTTCAAATGTCAGCTGATGTTGCAGATGGCGCTTCGATCCCCTTAAAACTCTCAAAAAATGTCCTTCACGGTGGAGCTTCAGGTGACCTCACAAGGCCATAAGGCTTGATAATTCTGCATCCACTTACGATCTCAACCGCGCACGAACGTTCTTCAGTAAATTTGGATAGTCAAGAGAAAAATCAGAGAAAATGGTATTTACGTATGCCCATAGAGCGACATCGACATCGTGCAAAACACCGTGTGCTGCCTGGCTGGTCATTAGTATGCACCCTTACATAATATTGCGCTTATTAAAAAGCGTTTCAGGTTCCAGATACACGACCACCGCCCCTCAGTCTGGCTTCCAGATGCACAATTACAAAATTAAAACACCCGTCTCCTTAATGGTGCCCGACTAAATTTAGTTCAAAATATATGGGAGCCCAGAGAGGCCCATAAAGCTTATACTCGATCGTAACCCCATCTAAAAACACGTTAGAATTGTGCAGCAGCAAGATTCCAGTCAAACCAGTGAGTTTGGCGGTTTTGAGACACCATCTTACATTGAAAAAAAAAATAGTTGATTTTGCAGACGCGCATGGCTACGGCATGGCTATGGAAACCGGAGACTTTTTTTTTGCCTTATGCCAATAAAAGAAAATATATACCATCTGTCTTGAGGAATTTCATCCCTATTTTACCTCACACCAGGGCAATATATCATTCATTGTCTCTTTCATCAGTGTACAATTACATTCCATATTTCATCATGAAGGATAAAATGACATGCAAGTCAGTTGTGATAGCCCAGAAATGGACACGTTATTAGTTTTACCAGTATTATGAAACTTATTCGATCCATCGTGAACTTGGCGCCACCCCTCCCCCCCAGTCAGGCCATAGGTGCACTTCATCCAAACTATACACGAGTCCTAAATGGAAACTGTCAAGGGTTCTTGGAGCTCCAATTGAAGCTGATTGCCAACGCAATGCATTAGTTCAGCAATGAATAAGAACATTGATCATCGATAGACACACCCGTTGTGTTATAATTTGCTTCTTGAGTATACAATCGAGGTTTTCTATACCATTTCATGAGCATCAGGCATGACTTAAGTCCAAATAAATGCGTTTCTACAGACTATCATAGGCTATAGAGCTAGTATCTATGGTGGCTTTAAAGGGACATCGCACATATATAGTGACGCC